AATTCTTGATTTTTGTTTGTAGCCGCCTCGTCCTCAATGCCTCTCTGAGCAGCATCTAGCGAGCGAGCGGGAGAAGGCGAGACAGAGAGGCAAAAGAGAAGATGAGGATAATTGGCAGACAGCTTGTCTTGTTGTTTTCTGGCTTTTGGGGACTAGCAATGGGAGCTTTTCCTAGCAGCGTGCAAATAGGTAAGCGCTGCATTGGGTTGCGTGCGTGTGTCAAGGCTTTCCATCCTTTGCAAAGTGAGTTGGAGACGCGGCTCTGAAGGGAGCTTGCAGATTTCTCCTCCACCAGCATCCCGTTTCCCGGCCCCCACGAAAAGCCCGCGTGTGTGTGTGCGTGTGTGTGTTTGTGTGTGTGTTTGTGTGTGTTGTGGGGGGAAGATGCTTATCTTTTGCAAAGCTAGTTGCGACTCCCGGGTCTGTAAGAGGGGAAGGGGCTAGCACCTCCTTCTCTTACCTGGCTCCCGGAAAGACGGCAAGTTATCTACCCTGGATGTTGCAGTAGCTGGCAGGGGTAGGGGATAAAACACAACACTGCTTATCTTCCCCCTTCATGGTTGGAAAGTTTGGGATTTTGTAGGTCTCTCCATATGGTCTGATGCCCCCTCCTCTGCGTTTGCCCATTGCCTCCTGCTTCTTTGCCTCCCCCTTGCTTCGGATGGGACGCAGTTATCTGTATTCCTTCCAGCTCCGCTCCATCACTGCATCATTTCTCGTAGACTTGTAACGATGCTGCCTAATAACACAGAGCTGCACATGGCTGCAGAGGAGCAAAGTTCATTATATTCCTGTTCAGTGCAGATTACCCTACACCGAGATTTCTTTTTTCTTTTTTTAAATTCAGAAAGCATCCTTCCCATTAATCAGCCCACCACTTAATGTAAGAGGCTGTTGAGTAGCTGATTTACCAATGTGTTCAGTATCAGGGAGATGGAGGCTAAACACTTTCAAAGGTCACTGTAATCATGACAAATGTGGGTATTTATGTATGAAAACCTGGAAACTGAGAAGACAGAAAAGAAGTGGGAATATGTCTGGGAGGTTAAAATCGATTGAGGACAGTGATTTAAAGGCAGCAGTTGAGATTACGAATATGATTAGTTCCTTATCCATTAAAGTCAGGACCAACCTTACTGTGTAGCTTTGGGAGAGACAGTTGCTTGATATTATAGGATACTAAGTAGCTTGCAAATAATTCACACTGCTTCCTCTGCTTTTTTCTTTTTTCTATAGGTGGTCTCTTCATCAGGAACACAGATCAGGAATATACTGCTTTTCGATTAGCAATTTTTCTTCATAACACCAGCCCCAATGCATCTGAAGCACCTTTTAATTTGGTTCCTCATGTAGACAACATTGAAACAGCTAACAGCTTCGCTGTAACAAATGCCTGTAAGTAAACGTGCCATTGATCTGACCAACTTACGAGTAAATTGTAATGAAAATAAGAGGAAACAACATCATTATCTTACACTGAAAACACATCACTAAGTCGGTGTTCAGCACAGCTGCCCTTTGCAGAAGAGGAAAAGGGGCAGCATCCTTGTTAGTTTCTAACTGGAGCAAAATCCCCTCTCCTGCCTTGTGCTGACTAACCTGATGTGACATTTACTTTAGTGTTATTACTGTAGTTTCTTGCTTTCTGGTTTCTATGGAGATGAATTTTGTGGTTGTAAAGAAAAATTGTGAATGTCTCGTTCAGTCAGTAAGCACCACAGTTACTCTTGTTTGCTTTTAGGTATGGCATGCCTTGCAAGTATTTGAAAATATATGTTAATATTTGTGATTGCAAATGCTTTTTGAATGGCTGGAAAGGAGACAGGGAAGCAATGGTGTGCAGGATAATATATCTGAGTTGGTTGACGCTGCAGTTGATCGGGTGATGTCACTTGAGGCAGCCCTGCTCTTATATTGTAGGTTGTAAATGTCTCTTATCATCTCGTAATGCATACATCCTGTGGATATGTCTCTATGTGTCCATACATTGGTGCCAAATCAAGTTAGTATCTGATCTACTTGATTTCACAAACCACCTCAACTGGAACAAATATTCTCTTCCTCCTATATATTATATATATGCACGCGCGCACACACACATGCACATACCATGAAAGGAACAAAAAAGGAGTACCCTTACCAACGGAGGTAACATTTACATTTAATTTTTTCTACCAGAGGATAATTAGCTGAACTTCCTACATGCAGATCACCTCGGGGTCCTTCAGCAGGGGGTAGAACACATGGTGGATGCTGCTTTTCTCTGAGAGTGGCAAAGCGTTAGAGCTGTTTATCTTCACATATATCAGGCTTATAAAAGGGAATTCATACCATTTTGTAAGACGGTGAAGTATAGTGTGGTAAAGCTAAAGACTGTAGTAACATTACTACTCTGATATTCATATTTCAGGATTCAGTTCTATAGGTTTTCCTCTGTGGCCTTTAAGTTTGAGAATCCCTGCTCTTCATTCAAGAGTGAATTGCTTCTGGAAGTAGATGCCCAGAGCAACATTGCTTAGCGAGTTTAAAATAGAAACGTACTGGAGAAGGTCTTACTGTTCATTGTGCCTTTAAAATACGTACTGTGTTTCTCTCCAGCTTCTCACAGCCATCTCCTCAGTACTTTCTAATTTGTAAACATACTGTGTACTGTGCAGTTCTCATATATAATTTATGGAATGATTGCTAAATTTATTTATACAAGTCTTTGGTTCTCCAAGTTTCAGATGACCTTGCCACCTTATTTAACAGAAAAAGCTTCTGAGCTGCCAAAATGGCTCCATGCATTTTATGCAGGAAAGATTGATGTCCCATTAAGTGGGAATTCTATATTAAGCAACGTATTAGTTGTGTTTAGCGTGAAAATCAATATCAAATTCCATAAGGGGAAAGCATTTCAAAAGACACTTTGAAACTGGAAGGAAGCAGATCTATGGAAGTGTAGTTCATTGAGAAAATATTACAATGCATGTCAAATTTTACAGTTGCTGTTTCTATATTCTACGAAGAGAAATGACATACTAGTTTTCAAAACTTTTATTTTTAGTGGAGGAGTAGGGGACTAAATTTTTTTTCATATTGAAATCGGTAATTTTTGATGAAGTCAATTATTTTAGAGTCTGCCTACGCAGCCAGTTCTACCAAATAATTACAGGGGCTATTGTTATATTTAAGATTAAAAATATTGCAGTGTTTCAGTTAGAACATTAGTGAATTATTTCTGATTTGCATACTTTTAAAATACAAATATATAAACGTAACCAGTTTTGCAGGACTTCAGTATCTTAGGTTCAAAAAAGGTTGGCCCAAAACTTTCCCTCATTTAGACTATTCACAGCTGATTCTTATCTGTCAGTCTAACCATCTTAGGTTATGCTTAGTTTGCATTATTTTAACTGAGGAAAACCTGTCCCCTTATTTTTACTGTCGTTTACAGAAATAGTGATTCATAACCTGATCCTTTGTTTTTTTTAAATTGAACTCAGTTTCAGTTCCAGAGAGTTTAATGACTCAGAGATGATGAATCTGTACAGTATGGGGCGGGGGGGCACAGAGAAAAGAAGAAAGTAAATGTATACGTTTATGTATATGTATGCCCATATAATCCTGTACATGTTCATATTAAATGGACTAAATTCTAGAGGCCTCTGTTAAGTCTGTATTTCTCACTTAAACCAACATATATTTTAATCTGAGCTTTACATATTGCATTTATTTCATATTTTACAATCTTGTGCCAGTAATCTGACTTTCTTATTTTTCTTTAACACTTTAATACTGAATAATATTTTTTTAATCAACAAATGTTCTGCTAATGAAACACAGGCAAACTGACTGACAACTGAATGAACATATCGCATGTCCCTTAAGCTAAACACGAGCAGAATCCTGCAAAAATCAATTGTCTGATAGCTGGAGGACACCAGCCTCCATGTGATAGAGTTTGCTGGCCTGACAGAGGCTCCAAAAGCGCAGACATGTGAGATTTTCTAACCTAATTAAAAAACCCCTACCATCAGCTCTGAATTAAGTGATTTCATCGCAATCCTACATGCGAAACGATGACTCTTTCCTGAACCTCTGTGGAAACAGTGGCTTTCGATCTCGCTATTTGCACAGAATTTATTTAGCGCGCATGTGTCCCCAAATACATGGTACAAAACCCTTGGAGCTACTGGACTGAAATGAATATACATGTGAGTGTAAGCATAAAGATCTAAGACATGACCAGTTAACTCTGTTTCCATTTCCGTTTACTGCAGAGGTTACTTGTAAAGATGCAGTGCCTGGCCCATTGCATGCATTAGGGACAGTAAACAGAGTATTTCAAAGGATTATGGATGGCATATTAGTGGGTAAATTACTGCGATGTTGGAAAAAAAACTTGTATTTTTTTTTTCCAGTAGATAAAAAAGCACATAGCCAAAGGTTTATCCAGCAAAACTTTTGGAATTAGAATAATTTTGGGTTTTATATCTATTTTCTAATGATTACCTTAGGCATTTATTTTTCTTTTAGCAGACCGAGAACATTAGTAGTTCTATTCTAAATCATGGATGTATGTAAAACAGGTTATTTAAGCAGATAGCCTCTATTATAGGTCAGCAAAATTAATCTGATCAGCATCAATTTGGATGTAGTCCTCTTTCTCCCTCCCACTGGTATGTTTTATTTAAACCTGTTCGCTTCTTTTGCACTGCATACATTATTCAGAGAATCTCTCTTACTGACAGAGCGAGCTGAAATTATTGCAAAACATGAACTGTACAAGATTCTTACTCATCAGAACACAATACACCAAAAATGAAACATTCAACTACTGGAATACATCGGTTTGCACATTATAAGCAGGAAATTTTGCTCATGATTTGAAATCTAGCTTCAACTTGATTTCAGATGTAAGAACTATGCAATGACACTTGAGGAGCATTGTATTTATTTATTCTTTAGTTGAATGCAAAATAATATTTTTCATTGCTTGCACCATCTATATTGTATTAGTATATCTCAGCAACACAGTCGACATTAAACTTGCTTGCATACTTTTAAAAGGTGGTTGTACAGTTTTACAAAGAAAATTTATCCTCCAGCTCTCATCTTGTGGTTGTGAATATTTGTGTTACGGTATCAAAAATTCTTAACGTATAGCAGGTCTTGCAGTTCTTGTACAAGATTAGTCTAAATGGAGGGGGAAAAAAAAGATATCTCAAGCATTTTATCTGTGTTTTATTTTAGAAGTAAAGCTTCTCCCTTTGAGTCTCAGTTTGACTTTTTGTGTATTTTGAGATTAATACATCCCTATACACTTGTAACTTGGTGCAAATCAACAACCCTTCTTGTTTCATCTCACATACAATTCAGCCCTAACCAGATTTTAATCCCAGTATATACTATTGAACAAAAGATAGAACTTTATTTTTACATGTCATGTGGATCAGCAGAAAAAAAAGCCTACTGGAATCAAAAATTTCACATATTGGGAAAAGTTTCCTCTTTCTCCAAGAGTTAGCCTCTTTGATTTTATTGTTTGTTTGTTTTTTAATACTCTCTCAATGTGCAGTGCAGAGGTTCGGACTAATGTGGGGTCGATGGCCGGAAATCGGAGGGCCTGCTGCTGTCCGGCCCGTGCCGGTGCAGGTCCCGTGCCGGCTCCCGAGGACGGACGGGGGGACCTGCTCCCTCCCAGCCTGCCCTTGCAGGGGCCCCCTTCCAGCTGGGGGCTTTTAGGGCAGGGCAGGAGTAAGGGGAGAGGCTGTGTCATTTTGAAGTTAACTTTTCTGCTGAGGCGTCCAGAAAGATTAGCAAATAGACTCAAGTGTAGCGTTGATTTTAAACTCTGACTGTGTCATTTTTACTTACAGCAGCTTCAGCTTTCATTTGCTAAGCTGCATCATAATGGGATTTTCATTAAATTTGGTTATTAATTCTACTTTAACAATTACAGCTCAGTTCAGCAGTAGGAGTATAACCTTAGTTTAATAGTCAGCATTACTTAAAAACATGGTGTTCTTCTTAATTTAGAAAGGCAGGTTTCATAAGACTGAATAGTAAGTATTTTGCTGCCAGAGTGGTACAGTATTCCCAAGGATGCCGTTTGGAGTATATTGAGGGTTATCATGAAAGTTTACTCTGCCGTCAGGTTTGAACAAGCGTTGCGCCAGTTGGCTAGAAAAACAGAGCTGGCTTTAATGTTACCCTTCTAAAACAGGATTGATTACAAAAGGCCATTTGAAGTGAGTGTTTTGTTTCAATCCATGGAGTTTATCTCAAGCTAGACCCCAATTACTGAAAATAATTTCCCTTAAAATTTCTATTATTAGCGCTAGCTGATGGAATCAAAGAACATATGTGTCCTTAGGTGTGATTTGCAGTAAGAGGGTATGTGAGTACCAATG